TGGAGAGAAACCCTATGAGTGTGATATTTGCAATAAACATTTTGCAACAAAATATCAAATAAAACGACACATAATGGTCCACACTGGAGAGAAACAACACAATATCTTTCTAATTTGTGCACAAACCTTGTTGAGTATAGTGTTCTGTGGTGGTTCTGTGCCACAAACTACTATAAGATTGTCGGACATTCCTGTGATGGGCATTCTTGTGTTGTACATTGACAGTTACCATTGCCATAATATTATTATTTTCATATTGTTTGTCCCTCTACACTAATACTGACCCAAGCTGGCTGCCATCTAGGAAATAATAACTGGTAAGACGGAATATCACATACCAATCGCCGTAATTTTTGTGAATGAATAATTTTACAAAACTGACGCTGGCTCAAGCCATGAACGTCAAGGTGGAGGCAAGTGAATTACAAAATAGCCCTATGGATTTACATATTAATATCTACATTAAGCAGTAGCCAGCTAGTGTTGCAGAAGAAGAACAAAGGAAAAAGATGGACGATGATCTGAGGGCCTAGACGTGTCTTTTTGTTAGCGATATCGCCAATGGAATAGAAAGACAATGTATGGGATTGACATAAGCGTACGAAATGTCACGTGATGTAGCGTAACCAACTTGTAACGATCGATAAATTGGTAGCCAATGTTAATCACTTCCTATCGACACAGTTAGTTGCAGGGTTAATATAAATCTGAAATTGTACAAGGTACATGCTGAAGTTAATTATATAGTTACTTTATTTAATTCGTAAAATTTGAATAGCATAGGTATTTATCTCTGTATCAACCAACAATTTTGTCTATTTTACAGATTTGTGATCATAACTTAAAATTTTTAAATGTCGATGCTAAGTATGGTGGAGCCACACATGACTCTTATATGGTCATCTAGCCAAGTGGAACCATACATGCATGGGCTTCATCAAAATGGTGAACAAACATGGCTATTAGGTAAGGAGCAAAATTGAACATTTATACATAACTTTTTGCATAATCTACACATTTTTGTTGTTAGTCTAAACATTTAGACCTACAACAAAAACAGCTTTTAAGTTTTACAAACAAATTGTCAACTGCATGCCTCCTATGTTTAATTATTAATTTAAACAATCCTAATTGTTTTAGGTGATTCTGGATACCCACAAAGAGCCTGGCTATTGACGCCTATCTTAAATGCTGCACCAGGGTCACCAGAAGAGAATTACACCAGGCGTCATATCCAGACCACGAATTGTATTGAACGTTGTTTTGGCTTGCTGAAGACACATTAAAGGTGTTTACTTAAGCACTGAATACTTCATTAACATCTCCAAGTCGCCAGTAAAATAGTAATTGCATGTGGAGCGCTGCATAACATTGCATGGAATGCCAAATTACCCCCACCAGGTGATATGGCTGAGCAACATGATAATGAGGATAGTGATAATGTTGTTGTGCAAGCTGGCTCATCTATCAGTAGTAGCCAAGATGAGCTAAAGCATGGCAGAGCCATGCCCAATTCTTTAGTGAATAGATTGTGATGTAGAAAATGAAAAATAATTATAAATATAAGAATATAATATTATAATTTCTTAACATCAATGTTATTATTTTACAAATTCACCTTCAAACTTTTAATTTTAAGTGATCAGGTACAGTCAAAAGCACGTCAAGCTTGACACTTTGTACTTTGGACCGTTCTTACCGTAAGCGCCATTGAGTTGGATTTAAATCTTAAGTGTTAAACTTGACGTGCTCTTGACCCTGTACATACAATATTATACTATTTATTTTTCTTAAGTAATAATATGGTAAACCATATACAATTTGTTTTTACAAAATACAATAAGTATTCCCTTGGTGATAATACCTATTATAATTAAATTTCTCATAAATGTGTTACCCACTTCATACACCTATTTATTCCCAGTAGGTCCATGTACTTAGTTCTACACCTACCTACTTAGTAGATATTATTACACAAAGTTAAAGTGGGTTTGCACAAGCATACCATTTTACTACATCAACTATGTGTCATTGGTCAAGAAGTAATTTGTTTCAAGTTGAACTTCCTCATTTGATGATGATGGTCTCTGAAAAAAAAAAAAAATTTAATATTATCTCAATGGGTTTGCGACTAAGAATTTAGATTTTGTTCTAGATTATAATGTGGTGCAGTAATTATCGCAGAAGTTATGAAAGGGGATGATTTAAGGTTGAATAGGAACAAATTTATTTTTAAAAATGTTTTGTTCTAAGACTATGATAAACTGGTAATGCTATGGTGACAGAATATGCTGAAGGGATAGGTCCCAGGTTTGATTCCTGGGCCGAGAGAAATATTTAATGGCCTACATATGTTTTTCTTCAGAGTTTGGGTGTAATTTCTTGTTGTCTATGTGTGTCCATGGCACTCGCGACACCGGGTTTCCCTAGTACGGGGCTATGTAGAGTGTGTGCATTATTATATTTATATTATATTCTATATTAATATTTGCTCCTGGATACTAGCTTGACCTACTACTGCTGACACCCCTAAAATCGTAACCAGCCTCTGTACCAAAGCAGTTAAAATTTGTCCGCTGTCTGGGCCATCACCAGAACCCTCAGCATGTCGCCGAAAGGCCTTACAATTTTTATTGTTTTTTGTTTTCCAGTCCACACATAGGTACTTAAATTAATGCAGTTAGTTAAAAGCGTTCATGATTGTGATAAAACCCATTCATGATATATAAATGTAAAATCAAGGAGGCGGGCTAGCTTACTTTATCCCATTTATCGGATGACTTTTCGACACCGCCACTCATAGATCGCCATAGCAGATCACTTCTCAGGCGATCTTGAGCTTCCGACTGGGGCTTCAGGAGATCGCCGTGCCTGTAATATACACGGTCTTAATTTATTTTGCTTAGGTTGTACTATATCACGTCATTGTTTACGTTACATCAGTCTCGAGTGGTAATTGCATTTTAATAAGTTTGGATGAAAAAAATATGATTCCTATATTGAGTTTCTTTCCATAAATTCTACAAGACCTGAGGATTGCTCCGGACTGGCTCGCAACCTCGGTTCCATTGCTAAAAAGATGAAGAAAATACTTCTAGTTGGAATGTAACATCACAATAAACTTTGCAAGATATCTATCTTACATGAATTATGGGTGACAAAAGTATATCATAGAAGAGCTAAATATAATGTTTCTGCAGATACTTTACTTACCACTTTAAAATATGTAATTAACAGTTGAAATCACTTTTCACTTTTAAAACTACTTTATTCCACTTCAATGCCGCGCGTTTTGTTATGACCATCGACCAATTTGCAAATTCAAAGTGACGTTTGCCGTCGAAACCGTAGACTTTATTTTGATTTTTAACGAATTATCGAATAGAATGAGCGATCGTATGGCTCTTTCCCTCTACTTAATGCTCAAGTCAGGACTTGAGCAGACTTGAGTATGATTTCAAGCACTGGAAATACGACCCTAATGACCGACATGGGTATGATTTTCAGTGCTCACTCCTATACTCAAGTCTGGCAGGAACTTGAGTATGATTTCGAGTGCTTTAACCCATACTCAAATCCTGACTTGAGCATTGAGTAGAGGTCTAGAATACGACTCTAAATCTATGCTTGTAACTTTGGCTATCGATCTACTATCGTTTTTGTTTAATCGTTAACGATTGTAGAAATGAAATAGATTGGGAACGATTGCTACTTGTCTAGGCCGTCTGGCTTAGGTAATTCATTTATTTGTTTTGTTGAATTTTTAAGCTGATTGCCTCGTGGCCAATGCTCAATAAATTTAAAAAAAGGCCAAAAAAAAACAAACTAGAAAGATTATTATAACCAGCATTGCCAATTTGTGGGGAATTCCCCAAATTGCGGGAAATTTCAACTAGATTGGGGATTTTGTGGGGATTGGCGCTACGTGGGGAAAATGTGAGGATACTAACATTTTATTATTGTGTTTAATCTATCGATTGCTCTGATGCATCGCTAGTTTGATCGTTATTGTTAGAAACACTGTGATGAACTATATCGACGGGTTTTTCAACATCGCACATCCCTCGTATTACCTATTTACAAGCAGCTTAAATAGAATTATTATCAGATCACTTGGTTCTGAATTGTAAAATTACCAGTCGGTGCGTGTTGAGTTCGCGATCCTTTCTCCCGGTTAGGCCGGTCCCCGGTATGAATAAAAACGAAATCAGCTATTGATAAACAAAGCCGAGCAGTTAGTACTTTCACACCACAACTTACCACTCGGCACTCCTCAACTTTAAATATTAAATATAGGTCGAAATTTAATTTACTCATTGATTTTTTCTGAAATTAACGATAGTGTCACCAAATGCGCAACAAATAATTAAGTTACTAACTTAATTTTGTAAGGCAAAGCAAATTTTTTTTTTCAAAGTTTGATTAACGTTGAATCTCATTAAAATAAAAAAACGATTTGAGGTCATCTAATTTTATAATTAGCTTCATATTTTACATTCACAGCAAACGTAATAGATGGTTACATTTGAGTTTCCTAATTCTTTATTATATTTTTAAGCGATGTAAGGTAATAAATAATGAAAACTCGAAACGTGGGGAATTTATGGGGAATATGAACCTTACTCTCCCCAAACGTGGGGATTTTAACCGTGATTTTTGGGGATTTTGAACAATTGGCATTGGCAACGCTATTACTCTTTCTCATTTGTGCTATAACTTTCTAATTTGTCAATTTGTGCACAAACCAAGTTTGTGGCACAAACCTTCTTGTTAAGTATAGTGTTCTGTAGTGGTTCTGTGCTGCAAATGGCCACAAAATCGCCATAATATTATTTCATATTGTTTGTTCTTAAGAATGGTGACACTGGCCTAAGCTGGCCGCCATATAAATAATAACTGGGAAGACGGAATATACCACGTACCAATTGTCGTAATTTTTGTGAATGAATAATTTTACAAAACTAACGCTGGTCGAAGCCATGAACGTCAAGGTGGAGGCAAGTGATTTAGAAAATAGCCCTATGGATTTACATACGAATGTCCACATTAAACAAGAACCAGTTGGTGTTGCAGAAGAAGAAAGGGAAAAGGAGGAGGAAGTTCTATATGCAGATCATGAAGTCAAGGAAGAAATGGTCATAGGACCTGTGGTGTTGCAACCTACTGATTTAGCTCAAACAAGTTACGTGCAGAACACATCTGATGGGTTGAATGTTGATACTCGATCGTTCAAATGTGATACTAACACTAAATGTTACCATACCATCCCATACCATCTTAAGTATCATAAAGTAACTCGTACTGGAGAGAAGCCCAACCAAAAAAGCACTCAAACAGGAAAGAAACAGCACAAATGTGATATTTGTCATAAATGGTTTGCATTTAAATCTTACATTAAGTATCATAATTTAATGGTCCACAGTGCGGAGAAACCATACAAATGTGACCAGTGTAACAAAGGTTTCCCTTCTAAATACTATTTAAATACACATTTACAGATTCATGTGAGAGAGAAACCATACAAATGTGACTACTGTTATAAAAGTTATGCTTCTAAATACAACTTAAATACACATTTAATGATTCATACTGGAGAGAAACCCTACGAGTG